CTCGAATTTTTGCTGTTGCTGAAAAGGATCACAGTTATCGTTTGCGCGTTAACTTGATTGGATATTGCGGCAGAAGCGTAAAAAAGCGCTACTACGAATTTGTGGGGCGCTACAAACAGTCTAGGAAAGTCACTAGAAACGCTTATGCTACTCCTACCTGGTCAGTTAGTTCGGCCGCGTCAGTGTCGATAGCCGAGGACATGGTAGAGATCTGCGAGCCAGCATGGATTGACGTCATCGAAATCACTGATGGAGCCTGATGTTCGTTGACATGAGTCTAGTTGTTAGAAAGGAAATAATATTCTTACAGTTCCTACCTGGCTATGGGTCATCGTGTGTACACCGCTGTCCAGTGGCCGATTCTGCCACATCTGAACCTTAAAGTTGACACTCATCGTCGCATTAGTCTGCACACTGAGCGGTGATGAGCGTGAAGACGATTCTACTGGTGGTTGCATTGCCGCACGAGGAGGATATGATTCTTTCTGAACAAATTTGGCAAGAGAAAGGTGTTGTTTTTCGAACTGAAAATCTATTTCGTGATCTACCTCACGACGCTCGAGGAATATACATCTAGCGTTTCCACCCCCGTTACGACCTCCACAATGAATACTCAGTGATGTCGGAGTCCGAGCGATGAGCAGATAGATTAGTCTCTGTATCTGTAGTCCAACTTCATGCACTAAGTCTCCTAAAGCGTAGCAACATACTAGGAGGACAGTAACAACATACCAACAGAATGGCCGAGCACGATCGCTGGTTACCAAAAAGGACCAAAAGTTATTGAACAGCCGGCATTCCGCCATTACGATAATTGAGCCTATAGGAACAGTTGACAATTTCAAAAACCATGGGCGATGAAGTGCGTTTACTTCTCAATAGAATTTTGCTGTAGATATCGTCGCCCAAAGTCGGAGCAGTTTGAAAAGTTCTTTTGCAGATATCACATTGAGAGGGGGTGGGGGTCGTATTCGAGGGCGAAGGAAGGGGGGTCGTAAGCATAGGGCTGAAAAAGAGAAAAAAGCAGCATTACTGCCAGGGAAGGATACCAATTCTGCATGGCCATTCAGGATGGGATGTATGCTCCTAGAAGCATCTTCGGACGCTGATATCAGATCTGACTTCCAAATCTGCTAAACGATTCTAGGAAAAAAGTTACGGAACTTTTTGCTACTGTTCTTAATCATTGTGCTGCGCCCCCTGCCCATAATTTGCGCTTGTAAGCCCTTCGTGACACAACGGCAACTGCGGTTCGATGGCGCAGCAGGTAGGTGAGCGTGGGACGGAGGTACTAATCATTGATGCATTCCATAGTTTTGCTTCTTCTTGAAACGTATGCTAAACACTTGGAATGTAGCTTTACATACCAGTTCGATCATCACAGGCCCCTCTCTGCTTCTTATTGAGCTCTGTGAACGAATTTTGAAAGACATTTCATTTCGACTTTAGTGAAAGCATTGAGATTGATAGGCTTTGATGTGGCAGCCTTACTTGGTGCACATATTGCTGTAACTAGTGCGAAACATTAAGCGAGCACATAAGATATCTTGATACAAAATGGCGTGTTGACGCATAGGAAGAACTTATAAAAGCTCTAAAGGTGGTTCGCTCCAGCTCCTTTGTCCTACAGCAAGTTCTCGCGGCACTATGTAAGATTTACTGCCCCAATCTCCGGAATCGGGCCAGTTTTGACCCGGATTTTTCTTCGCGGGCAGAATTGGCTAGAAATTAATCTCTCGGGGTAATTTGAATTATGAAGATGATATTACATCCGCTCGGCACGAAACCTTCTAAGGCGTGCGCCACAGGCGCCTGCCAGGAGATCAAATTACCCCAGAATACAACACTTGAGGCAAGTTTGTCCAAGGAGAAAGAAGCCGATCAAAAATTGGCTTGATTTCGGATGACTGGGGCAGTGAACGATGAATAGTGCCGTTCTCTCGCGCAACTGCTCTTCATGCAGGAAAATGCGCGACACTTCGTTGTTTGATCGGTAGAACGCTATGGCTTCATGCACCTAAACCACACACATACCATGCTATGAACTTGTAGAAAGTGCAGGTGAAGCCCTGAGGCAATGAGAACTTTCAAACCACCTTCTATGGTGGGATCTCCACACTCCTGTTACTGGAGCTCCTCTTTTAGTCAGGAGGAAAATTGCATCATCGCCATTATCAGGTGACCAGAGGGGATCAGTATGATCATCTCCACGAAGCTACCTTCCTCGCAATCGATCATGAGCTTGTCGCACAACGTGTGGAGCAGAATAGACCAGGAGCTCTCTTCTGCAACCTTCATCTCTTTTCGGCATAGTGGTCAATATCGCAGGGTCCGAATTATTTCACTAGATATGATAGCAACAAGGTCGGGCACAACTTTCCCCAGTTATCGGATCGCAAGAGCTATTGGCTGATGAGTGTTGAAGTGAACTGTTGCTGACGTCGAAGTCTTACGTTACGCAAACAAGTTGTGTTCACTAAAAATAGTAAAAAGAACTTTCGCTGCAGGTGCTTGAAGCAGGTCTGAAAGTGTAGATGGCCTCCTGCTTGAGCGAGTTAGGTGAGAGTGCAATCTCTCTAGAAACTCATTCACATGGCTCGGCACTATTTACCCTTTACTGCCCCAGTCATCCGAAATCAGGCCAGCTCCTGACCGACTTTTTTCTCCGTGGGCAGATTTTGCTCAAATGTTGTCTCCTGGGGTAGTTTGACCTCCAGAATACGAATATCACATTCGCATTCAGCGCCACAAAACTTCGCTGGCGCCCGCGAAGGCTGATTTGGGGTATTTTGGCGCCAGTGCGATTTGGGGTGGTGGATTTTGGCGGCCGTGGTGCGGGCGCCAGAAGGTTTCGGGTTGAGCGGATGTGATATTCGTGTTCAGGGGGTCAAACTACCCCTGGGAGCAAGTTTTCAGCGAATTTGGTGATTTCGAGTATTTTGGCGCCGGCGCCCGTGGCGCGGGCGCCAGGAGGTTTCGGGTCAAGCGGATGCGATATTCGTGTTCAGCGCGGGTCGAACTACCCCGGAGCCAAGTTTTCAGCAAATTCTGCCCATGGAGAAAAAAGTCGGTCAGGAACTGGCCTGATTTCGGATGACTGGGGCAGTAAAGGGAAAATAGTGCCCAAGGCTCAATAAGGGGGCCCCTGATGATCGAACTGGTAACGTAAAACTACTTTCCAAGTGTTTAGCATACGTTTTAAGAAAAAGCATAACTACAAAATGCATCAAGGATTCGAACCTCCGTCCCACGCTCACCTACCTGCTACGCCATCGAACCACATTGCGGTTGTGTCACGAGGGGTTCACAAGCGCAAAGTTTGGGCAGGGAGCGCACGGCAATGCTCAAAGGCATTTTCCGCAATATACTAAGGCTATAACCTCTTAAATGCGTCAGATGGTCCGGTAGGTGAATGTAGAGGTTGCACTGCATTCAAAACTTACAAAATGGCACGCAAAAGTGTTAACTGCTTCGCTTCCACTTTGTAAGTTTTTGAATGCAGTGCAACCTCTACATTCACCTACCGGACCATCTGACGCATTTAAGAGGTTATAGCCTTAGTATATTGCGGAAAATGCCTTTGAGCATTTGCCGTGCGCTCCCTCAAACTTTGCCGCTTGTGAACCCCTCGTGACACAACCGCAATGTGGTTCGATGGCGTAGCAGGTAGGTGAGCGTGGGACGGAGGTTCGAATCCTTGATGCATTTTGTAGTTATGCTTCTTCTTAAAACTTATGCTAAACACTTGAAATGTAGTTTTACGCTTACAGTTCGATTCATCAGCGCGGCCGCAACTTATTGAGCCTTGCGACGCATTTCCCTTTAGCTGCCCAGGTCATTCCGAAATCGAAGGCGCCAGCTGTCCTGGACCGACTTATTTCCTCCATGGTGCAGGACATTTTGCTGGGAAGACTTTGGCTCCGGTAGTTCGACGATCCCGCTGACACCGAAATTGGCATCCGCTTGAAACACAAAACTCACTGGCGCTCCCGCCACGGGCGCCGGCGCCAAAATACTCGAAATCACCAAATTCGCTGAAAACTTGCTCCCAGGGGTAGTTTGACCCCCTGAACACGAATATCACATCCGCTCAACCCGAAACCTCCTGGCGCCCGCACCACGGGCGCCAAAATACCCCAAATCATTGGCGCCTGTGGCGCGGGCGCCAGGAAGTTTCGGGCTGAGCGAATGTGATATTCGTATTCTGGAGGTCAAACTACCCCAGGAGACAACATTTGAGCAAAATCTGCCCACGGAGAAAAAAGTCGGTCAGGAACTGGCCTGATTTCGGATGACTGGGGCAGTAAAGGGTAAATAGTGCCGAGCCATGTGAATGAGTTTCTAGAGAGATTGCACTCTCACCTAACTCGCTCAAGCAGGAGGCCATCTACACTTTCAGACCTGCTTCAAGCACCTGCAGCGAAAGTTCTTTTTACTATTTTTAGTGAACACAACTTGTTTGCGTAACGTAAGACTTCGACGTCAGCAACAGTTCACTTCAGCACTCATCAGCCAATAGCTCTTGCGATCCGATAACTGGGGAAAGTTGTGCCCGACCTTGTTGCTATCATATCTAGTGAAATAATTCGGACCCTGCGATATTGACCACTATGCCGAAAAGAGATGAAGGTTGCAGAAGAGAGCTCCTGGTCTATTCTGCTCCACACGTTGTGCGACAAGCTCATGATCGATTGCGAGGAAGGTAGCTTCGTGGAGATGATCATACTGATCCCCTCTGGTCACCTGATAATGGCGATGATGCAATTTTCCTCCTGACTAAAAGAGGAGCTCCAGTAACAGGAGTGTGGAGATCCCACCATAGAAGGTGGTTTGAAAGTTCTCATTGCCTCAGGGCTTCACCTGCACTTTCTACAAGTTCATAGCATGGTATGTGTGTGGTTTAGGTGCATGAAGCCATAGCGTTCTACCGATCAAACAACGAAGTGTCGCGCATTTCCCTGCATGAAGAGCAGTTGCGCGAGAGAACGGCACTATTCATCGTTCACTGCCCCAGTCATCCGAAATCAAGCCAATTTTTGATCGGCTTCTTTCTCCTTGGACAAACTTGCCTCAAGTGTTGTATTCTGGGGTAATTTGATCTCCTGGCAGGCGCCTGTGGCGCACGCCTTAGAAGGTTTCGTGCCGAGCGGATGTAATATCATCTTCATAATTCAAATTACCCCGAGAGATTAATTTCTAGCCAATTCTGCCCGCGAAGAAAAATCCGGTCAAAAACTGGCCCGATTCCGGAGATTGGGGCAGTAAATCTTACATAGTGCCGCGAGAACTGCTGTAAGACAAAGGAGCTGGAGCGATTCACCTTTAGAGCTTTATAAGTTCTTCCTACGTGTCAACACGCCATTTTGTATCAAGATATCTTATGTGCTCGCTTAATGTTCCGCACTAGTTACAGCAATATATGCCCCAAATAAGGCTGCCACATCAACGCTATCAATTTCAATGCATTCACTGAAGTCGAAATGAAATGTCTTTCAAAATTCGTTCACAGGGCTCAATAAGGAGCAGAGAGGGGCCTGTGATGATCGAACTGGTATGTAAAACTACTTCCAAGTGTTTAGCATACGTTTCAAGAAAAAGCAAAACTACGAAATGCATCAATGATTAGTACCTCCGTCCCACGCTCACCTACCTGCTGCGCCATCGAACCGCAGTTGCCGTTGTGTCACGAAGGGCTTACAAGCGCAAATTATGGGCAGGGGGCGCACCGCAATGGTTAAGCACAGTAGCAAAAAGGTCCGTAACTTCTCTCCTAGAATCGTTTAGCAGATTTGGAAGTCAGATCTGATATCAGCGTCCGAAGATGCTTCTAGGAGTATACATCCCATCCTGAATGGCCATGCAGAATTGGTATCCTTCCCTGGCAGTAATGCTGCTTTTTTCTCTTTTTCAGCCCTATGCTTACGACCCCCCTTCCTTCGCCCTCGAATACGACCCCCACCCCCTCTCAATGTGATATCTGCAAAAGAACTTTTCAAACTGCTCCGACTTTGGGCGACGATATCTACAGCAAAATTCTATTGAGAAGTAAACGCACTTCATCGCCCATGGTTTTTGAAATTGTCAACTGTTCCTATAGGCTCAATTATCGTAATGGCGGAATGCCGGCTGTTCAATAACTTTTGGTCCTTTTTGGTAACCAGCGATCGTGCTCGGCCATTCTGTTGGTATGTTGTTACTGTCCTCCTAGTATGTTGCTACGCTTTAGGAGACTTAGTGCATGAAGTTGGACTACAGATACAGAGACTAATCTATCTGCTCATCGCTCGGACTCCGACATCACTGAGTATTCATTGTGGAGGTCGTAACGGGGGTGGAAACGCTAGATGTATATTCCTCGAGCGTCGTGAGGTAGATCACGAAATAGATTTTCAGTTCGAAAAACAACACCTTTCTCTTGCCAAATTTGTTCAGAAAGAATCATATCCTCCTCGTGCGGCAATGCAACCACCAGTAGAATCGTCTTCACGCTCATCACCGCTCAGTGTGCAGACTAATGCGACGATGAGTGTCAACTTTAAGGTTCAGATGTGGCAGAATCGGCCACTGGACAGCGGTGTACACACGATGACCCATAGCCAGGTAGGAACTGTAAGAATATTATTTCCTTTCTAACAACTAGACTCATGTCAACGAACATCAGGCTCCATCAGTGATTTCGATGACGTCAATCCATGCTGGCTCGCAGATCTCTACCATGTCCTCGGCTATCGACACTGACGCGGCCGAACTAACTGACCAGGTAGGAGTAGCATAAGCGTTTCTAGTGACTTTCCTAGACTGTTTGTAGCGCCCCACAAATTCGTAGTAGCGCTTTTTTACGCTTCTGCCGCAATATCCAATCAAGTTAACGCGCAAACGATAACTGTGATCCTTTTCAGCAACAGCAAAAATTCGAGAACATCTCCTTAGCTTTGTGCCCGACGCATCCGGAATATGCGAATGCGGAAGGAGTGATTCCCGAGTTGATCAATCTCATGAAAGACAATGATGAGGTCTGCTTAAGTAGAAATATAGTTTTCAGTAAGTACAGCCTATACCACAGTTCGTAATCAGCCCTTCAGGTGGTTGTCTACAAAGCATTGTTCATTATGCAGAACGTCGCAAAATTAGATGCCGACATATCCAGAACTCCTAGTGCTCGAATTCGTGGCGGAGACGCGGTGACGGCTATTCTGAATGTGCTGCAAGTGCGGCGGAATACACCTGTGAGTACCGGAATCTCAATAACCTCGAACGATCACGGAATGCCAAAGAATATTTTCGAGGGCACCAAAGGGGTCTCTCGCAGGCTGAGAGCTGCGAAGGTTTTCGTTTCCTCTCCCTCTCCCCCCCCACGCTCTCCTTACCCAGCACGGTCCCGCACGGACAAGCCAATCGTTAATCGTCGCGTCGTTGCGTGCGACGATGCGTAGCAAACTTGCTATGACCCTCAAACGTGGCAGTTTTGACGCCTTTCTAGTTGTTCCACCCAACGAAACTCAAAGGCAACTTTTGTCCCGGGGTCATCTTTTGCCCTGTGTTTTTCGTTTTTTTTTCTCAGATATTAGGTTGGCGGGAAAGTTCTGTCACATTTTTTCAAACTAGGCTTTCTTTTTATAGAGAGGCGTACAAGATCAAAATTATACAGCAATGTCATTGCGGAATCCCTGCCAGTTTTCGAGCACTTCGTGGATGCCATCGCTTCACAATGGAGGCTGGCACGACGCAATGTTGGAGTGGAGGT